TACGATTCAGGCATCATGCTTCTTGATATTTACCCAAAGGAGTCAAATACTTATGTCCACACAAAAACCTGCACATGGATGTTTATAGCAGCTTTATTCATAATGGCCCGAACTCAGAAGCAACCAAGATGTTCTGCAGTAGGTGAATAAATAAAGTGTGGTGCATCCAGAAAATGGAACGTTACTCTGCGCCAAAGGAAATGATCAAGCCACGAAGAGACATGGAGGAAACTTAGATGCACATTGCTAAGTGAAAGAAGCCAGTCCGAAAACGGCTACAAACTGTATGGTTCCAATGATACGGCATTCTAGAAAAGGCTAAACTATGGAGACAGGAAAAAGATCAGCGGTTGCCAGGAGCTGCGGGGTGGAGGGAGGGATGAACAGGCAAAGTACAGAGAGGATTCTTAGGGCAGTGAAACTATTCTATATGATACTATAATAGTAGACACATACCATTGTACACTTGCCCAGACCCACAGAACGTACAAGCCAAGAGTGAGTTCTCACATCAACTATGAACTACAGAGGATGATGATGCATCAACGGAGGTGCCTCAGTTGCAACAAATGTCCCACTGTGCTGGGGGATGTTGATAGTGAGGGGGGTTATGCATGTGTCGGGCAAAGGTTATGGAAAATCTCTGTACCTTCTGCTCACTTTTGCTGTGAACCTAAAAGTGTTCTAAAAGCCTGGCCAACATGGTGAAACCCCATCTCTACTAAAAATACAAAAATTAGCTGGGTGTGGTGGTGGGCGCCTGTAGGCCCAGCTACTCGGGTGGCTGAGGCAGGAGAATGGCGTGAACCTGGGAGGCGGAGGTTGCAGTGAGCCGAGATCAAGCCATTGCACTCCAGCCTGGGGGACAGGAGCGAGACGTCATCTCAATAAATAAATACATACATACATACATACATACATACACACATAAAAAATAAAGTCTATTTAAAACAAACAAGCAAACAAACACAGAAACATGGCTTCTCCAGCTCTCACCATTTAGATGCACAGCACACACCCTCTGCTTCTGTGCTTTATCTTTCTATTCTGCCACACTGAGGCTTCCCAACTATTGCCCCAGGGGACATTGTCCTCATTTCAATTTGTATTTTTAATAGCACTTCTTTCTGATGACAAAAAGAGTACATGTACAAAGTTTGGAAAAAGAAAAAGAAGTAGGAGAAAAATAAAACCCACTCGGAATTGCTCCATCCGGAGATACCAATCACGTTTTGGATAGTGGCTGGTACGATACTGTTTATATTATTTAACAAACTGTATTATCCTGTGAACATCACATTTCCTATGATGAAAAATTTCAAGAACATATTCTTTTGGTAAACATTTCACACATGGCCATACCATAGTTCAGTTAATCATTCGGCATTCGGGTGGTAATATTTAGATGTGTTCAGTTTTGCATTGTTATAAATAATAGGATGAACATCTGTGTGGAGAAAGTTTTGCCAAATTCTTGAATTATATCACAGGCTTGGAATTACAGGGTGGAAGAATATGGATATTTTGGTTATTCTTCTTCTATTACAAGACTGCTTTCTAGACATTCTGTTATCTGTTTACACTCTCAGAAGTAGAACGTGCGAGTTTCTGTTTCTATGGTTTTATTAAGTAACATAATTTAAAAAATAATTTATTGATTTGATGAAAGTGAAATCAGAAATGGTATTTCATTGATTTAATGAACCTTTCTTTTTTTCCTGGTAAGTCTGATCTTTGAAAACTTATTTATTAATTATTTGAATATCCAGTTCTATAAATTGTCTATTATATATTGTGTTCTTAATGTTTTTCTTATACATTTGTAAGAGTTCTGTTTTATTGTCAAAAAATTTTTCCCTAGTTTCTTACAGTTTAATTTTTATGTCAAACTTATTTTCATAATGGGAATAACCCTTTTCCTGGTAATTAAAATAACAGGCTCTCATGGTAAAAAAAAAAAAAAAAAACACACTATAGAAAATTATACAGAAAAAAGTAAAAAGCTTCTACATTCTATCCCTTGAACTTATACTAACATTTTTAGATCATTTCCTCCCAAACTTTTATCCTATGTTTATATGGTATTTTTTGAAGTTCAAGAGTTTTAATTTTTTACGTATCTCAAAGCAAGCATTTTAAAATTTCAATATATTCTCCACTGCTTTTGTGTTTAGAAATGTCTTTGTAATCTAGCGATCTGATAAAGAACCACTTCTAAAAAAACAGAGCTGTGATTTTTTTTTTTTTTTTTGAGACAGAGTTTTGCTTTTGTTGCCCAGGCTGGAGTGCGATGGCGCGATCTTGGCTCACTGCAACCTCTGCCTCCCGGGTTCAAGCGATTCTCCTGCCTCAGCCTTCCAAGTAGCTGCCACAACGCCTGGCTAATTTTGTATTTTTAGTAGAGATGGGGTTTCTCTGTGTTGGTTAGGCTGGTCTCGAACTCCCAACCTCAAGTGATCCGCCTGCCTTGGCCTCCCAAAGTGCTGGGATTACAGGCAAGGCATTATGTCATATTATAGAATATTTAGGAAATTAAGGGGGAAAGAAGTCAGCCTTAATGCCTGGACCGTAACACATCTACTTCCTTTACGCATTGTTCTTTCAAGACATTGATCATGAGCTTTTAATGTATTTTAATTTATTTTAATGTGGTTGCAAGTACAATTTCCTATCTTTTCCTTTCCTTCATAATTAAGCCCTAAGCATTATTTTCTTGTTGCTACATAGTCTCGGTAACGGTTGTTTTAAATGATTCCCTAATGGCCCCTCCTGTGGCTGTGCTGTCACAGCTGACCCCATCCCACTGATGAACACTTCCGTTGCTTCCAATTTTTCTGTCAAGCAGTATTTTGAAACACCAGAGTCCAGTGAAGCAGAAGCTCCCGCTGTTCCCTGGGGGCTGACTGTAACACAATTTGACTTTGCTCATTTCCTCCTTTCCTCAGAGGAGTGTTGGAAGAAATCGCTTTTAGAGAATGGTTAGAAAAACGACCAACAGAAAATGAGGAGGAAGGAGATCATGAGCTGAAAGCATGTTGAGCTTTTAGGAGGAAGCTGCTTTAGAAGCCCAGACTGTGTAGGTTTTGCTTTTGTGACTCACGAATCGGGCATGAGTTCATAATAATTTTGACAGATGCTTTTCACTCATGCAGCGCTTGGTGCTTTTGAGGGTTTTGGCTCAGGAAGTCTTGATGCAGAATCTCTGCTTATCATTTGCTGTCTGTGTGACCTACATCAGCGGCGCCTCAGTCTGTCTTCCTGCAGAATAGGAATACAGTCAGCCCTCTATACCTGTGGTTCGGGCATCCATGGATCCAATCCACTGTGGATTGAAAATATTTGGAAAAATACAATAAAAAGTAAGAATACAACAATAAAATAACATAAATAAAAAACAAGACCGGGCACGGTGGCTCACGCTTGTAATCCCAACACTTTGGGAGGCCGAGGCCGGTGGATCACGAGATCAGGAGATGGAGACCATCTTGGCCAACATGATAAACCCCGTCTCTACTAAAAAGACAAAAATTAGCTGAGCGTGGTGGCGACTGCCTGTAGTCCCAGCTACTTGGAAGGCTGAGGCAGGAGAATCACTTGAACCCGGGAGGCGGAGGTTGCAGGGAGCCCAGATCGAACCACTGCACTCCAGCCTGGCGACAGAGAGAGACTCCATCTCAAAACAAACAAACAAGCAAACAAGCAAACAAAAAAGCGTTAACAACGATTTACATAACATTTAAATTGTATTAGCCACTACAAGAATCTAGAGACAATTTAAGGTATTTTGGAGGAGTTGTGTAGGCTATATGCAGATACTGTGTCAATTCATATGAGGGACTTGAGCATCCCTGGATTTTAGCATCCACGGATGTGCTGGAACCAGTCCCCTGGGGGATACCGAGGGATATCATGATAACAGGCCCAGAGGAGGACAGATGAACATACTGGGTCAAGGGGCAGCACTGAGCTGTGGTGGAAGAACCCCCAGTAGCCAGAGAAAGAGCAGGAGGGCCTTCCAGGAAAGAGGGAATGGCCTGTGTGAACCCAGGCTGAACCTCTCATTCCTGGGACTCGGTTTTCCATTTGTACAAAGTGCTTGGTTTTTGGTCTGCAAAAGCCCTTCCTGTTCCTCCAGGAAGCCGCTCAGGGACCTCCGACCCTGGCCAGCTCTGCTCCTCTGACCGCTGGGGGTCCTGCAGGCCCTAGCCCTGGCTCCTGTGTGTGCACCAGGCACGTCTAGGCCTCTTCAGCGGGACCAGTCTCTCTGCTCAACTCAACCAACAGTTCCTGAGAAATTTCCAGGGGCAGCGAAGTGCTGTAGCCCCTGACATGTTTTAGGGCTGAATGGGAGGTGGGTATCAGCAGACTCAACACGTATTTATTAACTTAAAACAAGTGTCACGGGTCTACTGGCAAAGCTAGCTAGCAATAACCTTATCTTCTCCAGGAACAATGATCATTCATCATTCCTTCCTGCTGGGCGTAGGAGACGACTCGGCGTGTAGTGGTGGAACAACTGGGTGGTAGACGCAGAGATCTCGTTCCCTGATCCCGGCGCCTTAGTTGTAAAGTGGGAACAGTAATAGCACCTACCTCTAAGGCCACGGAGACCGAATGAAACAACGCCTGTCAAGCCCCTTAGTACACAGTAAGCGCTCAGTAATGCTAGGTTGTTGTTATTATAATAAATTGTTAGCGAACGGGAAGACCGAGCACCGGTTGGTACTGGGCTAGGCGCCGGAGGCAAAGACGTGGAGATGTCCCGGAGGCGCCTAGGGGATCCGGGCGAAAACCCGAGCGGCTAAGGCCGGGAGGAGGCGGAGCGTCGAGCACCCGGCGGGCGGTGAGCCCGTGGAAAGGGAGGGGGCTCCGGGCGCGCTCTCCTAGCAGCCGCGGCTCCTCTGTTCAGGGCCGCACCTCCTTGGCCGCACTTTCTCTTTGATTTCGAAAGCACTCCTCTCCTCCACCTAGTCTCCTTTCCTGGGTTGCAGGAGGTTACTGCTTGCGGGGAAGACCGAGACGCCAGGCCCGCGGATTAGTCCCCGCCCCGGGGCGGTGTCGCTGGAGCGTCAGGGGAGTCCCGCTCGCCGCAGCCCCAGCGCCGCGCGCGCCCCTCCCTCCTCGCGGACCTGGCGGTGCCGGCGCCCGGAGTGGCCCTTTAAAAAGGCAGCTTCTTGTCCGGAGGGGGCGGGCGGGGGGCGCCGACCGCGGCCCGAGGCCCGGCCCCTCCCCTCTCCCTCCTTCTGTCCCCGCGTCGCTCGCTGGCTCGCTCGCCTGCCCGGCGCACGCTCCGCCTCCGTCAGTTGGCTCCGCTGTCGGGTGCGCGGCGTGGAGCGGCAGCTGGTCTGGACGCGCGGCCGGGGCTGGGGGCTGGGAGCGCGGCGCGCAAGATCTCCCCGCGCGAGATCGGCCCCTGCCACCGGGCGAGGCCTGCGCCGCGATGGCAGAGATGGGCAGTAAAGGGGTGACGGCGGGAAAGATCGCCAGCAATGTGCAGAAGAAGCTCACCCGCGCGCAGGAGAAGGTGAGAGAGCCGGATCCCCAGCCGCCGCGGAGTCCCAGCCGCCGCACAGTCCCGGCCACCTGTCCCCCTACCCTCCGACCCTGGGGCCTGGTCCTCCGCGGGGATCTGATGCTGTCACCTCCAGAGGAGCGCTTTCGAGGGGCTTCGGGGTCCCCAGGTTGCGTCTCCCGGCGCTCTGGGTGCCCTCTTCGGTTTGCGTCCTGTCTCCCCACACCCGGCCAGGGCAGGACAGGGCCTCGCTTTGCACCTTCGTGGCTCGGCTGCACAGCAGTGGCCGGCCCTGCTCCAGGATCTTCTCAGGCGCGCGCTCCAGGCTAACCCGCTTTGGAGGCCAAGGGCCGGGAGGCTGGGAGGCCAGGTGGTGACCCCCCGCCCTCCAGGCCCTTGCAGGCAACCCAGGCGGGGCCGGCGCTGGGGCGAGAGGGAGTATGTCTCTCCACCCGCGGGGCCACTGTTCCCCCGGACTCCCAAGGCTGCTTCTCGAACCGGCACCCGCAGTTCCCTCTTTCCCACTGCTTCTCCACTTTCGTTCTCCGCGGGCCGAAGGAGGGATGGGGTTTCCTTTCCCGAGAGGTGCCTGCGGCCTGGAAGCTCCCGCCCAGCCTGGCCCCACCGGGAGCCCGGGGCTGTGCACCCCGCAAGGAGGTGCCCTCGCCCCAGCAGGGGCTTAGCGTTTCCGGCGGCCGGGGAGCGGGTGGGGGCACTGGCTTTGGGAGCCCACCGCCGGGTGGGGAGCTGGCCTAGAGGAGGGGCGTGGAAGGCGCCACAGGAAACCCGACCCCTCCTCGCGGAGAGCTGGAGTGGGGGATGGAGCCGGGGCCTCCCAGGGTGCCCAGAGCGTGCAGGAAATGCAGGGATTGAGAGGTGGGGGTCGGCACCCGGTCAGCTGTCTGTCGTAAGCCACCTCTGGTTTATTGAATTGGATCACGCCAGCTGCTGACGCCACTTCCCCTGCCGACTCCGACTCCGAAATCTGAGATTGCAGAATCTGGGTTTCTGCCAGGGTGGCCCCCCAGTGCCCCGCGGCCAGGCCTGCCACCTCTCCCACCCGCCGCGCGACCGCTGCCGCCGGGTGGAGGCGCAGGGACAGGCCGGCCTTCCCCTGCCAGGCCTGGTGGCTGTTTATAAACAATGACTTTTGCTTCTGAGACCCGCGGGCTCCCTAAGGATGCAACCACGTGATTGCTGGGGGAGCGGGGAGAGGGGGGCGCCTAGAGCTTCCCTATACCTCCCTCAGAGTCCTACTGCTCATCCCTGTGTTTCCTGGCTAAGGAGGTGGGTGGGTGTTCATTGAAGGAAGGGCCCTCAGCTAAGCTCCAGATTTGCCCAGACCCAGCTCCCCCACCCGCCACCCCAGGGGAGCAGGAGGAGGAGGAGGAGGAGGAGGAGGAGGAGGAGGGATTAAAGCCCCAGGAATAGCTGGCTGGTGGCTGGGAAGACTTCAGGTTGTGGGGTGGGGGGGTTGGCCGTGGCAGCACAGATGCAGCCACCCCTGCTCCCCGCTGCCATGACTGGGTAATCCATCTGGGTGCCTGGAGCAGGCAGCCCTGGGCCAGAGCCTGCTTCCTTCCCTAAAGGGCCAGGGCGATGAATGGGAAGCTTGGTTAGCTGAGATGCGTTCCCTGTCCCCATCCCACTGGTGTCCCACTCCTTCCTGGCTCCCCAAGGCTCTTGGTGTGTCCCCTTTGCCCTGGTTGTCTTTTCTCTGCAGCGGCATCTTTGATGTCATTCTCAGGGCAGTAGGCATGGGCTGTGTCTCCTCCAGGGAGGTGGTGATGTATCACTGAGCCCCTGAGCCACCATCTCTCTCGCTTGAGCCCTGTTCTGTGGCCACGGGCAGTTGGCTGACAGTTGGTCAGCTATGCATGCTGGTCTTGGCCAACAGCTGACCTTGCCCATACCGGGCTTCCTGAGACTGGAGTTGTTTAGTGTTCCAGCTGCTCTCTGCCTGCTGGAGACTAGTTAGGGACCCTCCCCCCCATCAGAAACCAAGGCAGTGTGACCATCATGACAGGCATCCCGGCCAGGTCTCTGAAAGTAGCTTTCGCCTCTCTTTGGGATGCAAGCCCTGCTCAACCCACAGCAGCCTCTGCTGTGTGCCTTCCTGGAGAGTCTGTGCCATCGCGGGAGGGTCATCCTCAGTGTCTTCGGGTGGTGATCAGCACGGCATCTAACTCCCACTGTCAATGCAACTGGAATCCTAGTCTCTTACAGGCAGCCCCACCGCTACACCTACCTTGCCTTAGTGGAATCAGTGGGTCATGGGGCAATTCGTTTCCCTGTGGCCACAGGAAGGCGTTTCCTGAGCAAGGATGGCAGGAGCTGTGCTGGGAGGCCGGGCGAGTCCTGGCGTCCTGGTGTAGGAAGAAGGCCCCGTATCTTTCATCCACCCTTCTCCCCCAGCCTTCCCGCATCCACTTCCAGCCCAAACATCCAGACTGTGGCGGTGACAGTGTGGTCAAGGGCAGCCTGCACTCTTGTGCCCTGGGCCCTAGGGTCCCCAAGCCAGCTCTTTTTTGACTGTTGTTAGCTGTTGACCCTCTTGCCTCCACCACTGGTCTGGCTGCTCCCTGAGGGCAGGGCAGGGCACACATCCAGGTGTGTGCATTGAGGATGTTAACTGGCCCCAGTCGGTGCTTAGTGAACGTTTTTGAACAAGGGATTTGGGCCTGACGCAGGCTGATGGTGGATTGATTTGTGTTGTTTGTTCTCTGCCGTCACTCATTCATCAAATCCTGCCTGGACACAGGCCCCGTGCCTCGTCCTGGGCCTGCCTGGAGCTTTTTCTTGAAGGTCCCATGGCCTGTGGCCTTGGTGTGAGGAGGGCATGAGAATAAATTGGAAGGGTTGCCTGGACCTGCCAGCATGGCACCATTGCTCCTGGCCCCCCAGCCACTGCCCCCGGAATGCCTGGGGTGCACTGTGTGTGCTGGGATCTCGAGCCTGTGGGCACCGTGAGGTCATCTTCCCATTGCGTTTGGCTTGTCGAACCCTCTATAAATGATTGTGTCCATTTTTGGGCCTCAGAAGGGTGGCTAGGCAAAGCCAATGTAGGGTGGAGCCTGGGTCAGATGACGGTGAGGATTAGAGGTTGGCAGGCTGGGCCCCTCGGGGGATGGGGCGGCTTCGGAGAAGGACAGCCGAGGGGGTGGGGATCTGGCCTGCTGGCCCCTGAAGGCACATGGCTTGGGAGTCCTCATGGAGCGGGCCTGACGGAGCTGGGCCTTGCTCTGGCCACGCCGGGCTGACAGTGAGCACAGGAGGAAGGCTCTGGCAGGGTGGGAGTGTGCATGCTGTCCCTCCCTCCCTGCAGGCCCTGAGCTTGCTGGAGGGGTGCAGGCTGGACAGTGGGGAGGGCCAGCTGGGAGGAGGGAGGGCCCAGGGTTGTCAGTGCACAGCACAGCGCTGACAAGATGAGAAGAGGCTCACTAAAGGAAGGTGCAGTGGTGGCGATTCCTACAGCCTTGATGCATGGCCACGGATTGCACTATGCTCAGCTTCGTGGTTAAGGTCTCCTCATGCAGTAGCCACCTTAGCCTCCTCCGGAGGAGCCAGGCCTGTACACCAAGCCTTATCTTTGCAGCAACCTTAGAAGCAGCAATGCTACACCTGAGAGTGGGTGCATGGTCCCTGTAACAGAAAGGACAATGGGGACACAGGCAGGCCCAGCCACCTGCCCAAGTCACCCAGGCCCCCAGTGACGGCACTGGGAGCCCACCCAGAAGCCCTGGTCTCCCCACCTTGGCCACTGACTTTGCAGGGGTCCCGCCCCCTTCCCAGGCCCTAGCACAAAGCTACCCCCCTCTACCCACATTCCCATCTCTGTCCATCTTGGGGCCCATCTCTGTCCTTCTGTCCTTGAATGTCTGAGGTTCTTCCCTGCCAGCTGCTGGCCTGTCTTTGTCTCTGTCTCTGCCTGTACCTCCCTGCTCCAGGCCTCTTCCCTCTGAACTTGCTCAGGCCCTTCCTGCATCTCTCCAGTCTCAGCTTCCCCTGGACCCGCGTTACTTACGTAGATGGTTCATCTCACCCTGCAGGGAAGGCTTCTGAGCTGGGCATCTTCTGTGGGTGGGCCAGGGTATGTGGGGGCTCTTGGGTATTCGGTAAAGGCGTTTGGGCATAGGAGGTTGGAAGCATGGCTTCTAGACTTCCCCAATCCCCCAGCGGCCGTGGATGGCCTGAGTACAGCCTTCTGGCTCATGCAGGGACCAAGTCGGGCACAGGCTACTTGTCCAGGAAGACAGAGAAGGGAGCTCGGTATGCTGCGTGGGGCATGGGGAAGGAGAAGGCATTCCAGGAGGCGCAGGCATGGTCCAAGGTGTGGAGAAAGGGGTGAGGGCATTGAGGATGCCAGCTCTCTGAAGAGAAGGGGTGCCTGGGTGGTAGATTCCCTCCAGATTTCATGAAGTTGTGAAGGCCAGGAAGATCTATGGATCCCAAGGATTCTCGGAGAAGTTGAGGTTTGAACTCTCCGCCCCTTCTTCAAGATCACCGCATCGGAGCTCCCTTCTCACTGGCCTCTGACCAGGTCCTTGCCCCTGAACTCAGCGTCCGGCCCAGCTGGTCCCTGACAAACTGTGTGACTGTCCCTGAGCTTCCAGAATCCCCGAGTCCTACCCTTGGAGGTAGGCCCTCTGTCCTCATGTCTCTATAAGGAACAGCAGAGCGTGCACGGGCTCTTGGCTTCCCTGACGTGCTGCAGACCCTTCCTGAGCCCTGTTTCTTCGTGTATCAAATAGGGGATAAGAATGGTTCCTCTTCACACATGTGTTGTGGAAAGTAAAGCCCTAGGCAGGTGCTTGGGGCATAGCAAGTGCTTGTTGAATGCCAGCTGTGTGGCAGAGCAGCACCTTGAGTCCACATGAGGCGCCCTCTCCCCGCATGGCCCCACTTCCCAGCCCCGGTCCCCGGAGTGTCCATTACAGGCCTCTATAGACAGCTAATCCCTCCTGAGCCTGGAGCTGATCAGGCTTATGATGCTCACAGACCCGGGGCAGTGA